CAATATTGTATATATAAAAAATAAATAATAATTTAACACCTTAAAAATTTCATGTATTTTAAAGTATTAAAAAAATATTTGTACTCTGATTGTTTTAAAACATACTTTCTCCGCCCCCTATAATTATTCCATTTTTCCACTTTTGGAAGTTCCCCTATTAATGTCACACGTCATATTTGTTAATATAACATTTGTGTGACTCTAATTCATTCTTACTTTATTACCACTTTATAAACTCATTATCAACCACATAATTCTACTTTTCTTAAAAAATATACCACTTCATCCTGTCTAATTATTAGGGGGTGGAGGTAGTATATATCAAAATTCATAATGATTTATTATTTCTTTTTATATGACACTAATATTTCATAGTAAAAATAATTAAATATGGTACTCTAATAATTTTTTTAGTGTTATACCTTTTTTGGTACTCCAGGTATATCAAAACTCATAATTTCTTATTATCTTTCATTTGTTACTAATTTTCATATATAGAAATAGACAATAATTTAGCACTTTAAAAAAGTTCACAATTTTTAAAGTACTACTATGTATATTTTTTAAGATAATCAAAAAGCGAAAGTTGACAAAGTTCAATAGTTGAGAGGGAGTACTTAAGAACTATATCCATCCGTATAAAAAATTGATACAGAACGGGACATGTTCTATACATATTCGAGGGTACTGGTTCTATAATTTTCAGAAGAACCGTACTTTGAATTGAGACACTCTTTTTAAAATAATCGCCTCGTAGTGTCTCGTGCTCATTCTTAAAGTTATGAATTTTGATATATTATATGTAACGATTAGACTACAAATAAAAAAGTAATAGCAATTTAAATAATTGAGATTTTTTTAACGTGATAAATTATGTATTTATTAGTCAAAAGGGTATAACACTAAAACAAATTATCCAGAAATTTTTAAAGAAAAGGTACCAAATTATACTAAAAAGGTATAACTCTAAAAATTTCTTAAAGTACCAAATTATTTTTTATTTTTACCTATGAAATATTAGTGTCATATAAAATATAATAAAATATTATGAAATTTTTTATATATACTACTCCGCCCCCTAATATTGGAACATAAGAAAGTGGTGTGATTTTTAAGAAAAATAGAATTATGTGATTAATAATGAGTTGATAAAGTGCAAATAAAGTAAGAATGAATTAGAGTCACACAAAAGTGAAAAAGAAGACAATTATAGGGGGCAGAGAGAGTATGTTTTAAAACAATCAGAATACAAATAAAAAAAGTTTTAATACTTTAAAATACATGAAATTTTTAAAGAGTTAAATTATTATTTATTTTTTATATATACAATATTGGTGTCATATGAAAGATAATAAAAAGTTATGAATTATGATATATTGTTTTGAAAAATCGGAGTATAAATATAAAAGTTATAGCATTTCTAAGAAAAATGGGATGTTTTATTTTATTGGGTCCCACCATTGCTCTTCTACCAATTGTGGTGTGCTTTTCAGTGACCCCTACGGTAGTCATGCGTAGGCTTCCCATGGTGTAACTAGAGTTTGTGGAGCAGTAGATTGGGAAATAATTTTGACCCAACATCAATTATGAAAATATTTTGTTTGTTAGCATTATTTAAGAAAATAACTCTTAAAAATGTAATCTCTTAAGTGGAGTGATTATTGTAATAACTTTAGTCATAACACGTATAGCGAATTTTTATACTTAAATGATCATGACACTATATTTCACATGTGAATTAGGATGGCAATGGATTATCTACATAATAGCTTGAATGCAATTATACGAAAACTTACAAAAAAACTTGATACAAATTAAATGTATCAAGAAAAGTTTAAATGTATCCAACTAATGGAAAACATTAAATAAAGTGCTACAATTTAAAAGTATAATATCATTCAATGAAATAGATGCTTCTTACTTTCAAAACCTCTTTGTATACACATGTTCATGTAAAAATAAAGCGATGGATGAAAATGCCACCTATTGGCCATAGGGGTGGACTCGGGTCGGGCCGCCTGGCCCGGAACCGGCTCGGTCCGGTACTATTTGGGCCCGGCCCGGTACCCGGTCTTGGGGACGGTTCGGGCCAACCGGAACCGGTCTATTCCCGGTGCGGGCTCGGGCCTTGAAAATGGTGAACCGGCCTGGCCGGTTCGGGCCCGGCTCGGGCCAAATTTGTTTTTCTTTTTAATGTTTTTTGGTTTCTACCGGGTAGGGCTGGGTGTTTTGGGGGGGTTTGGGGGTGGGGGGTGAAGGGGGGGGGGGGGTCGGGGGTAATTTAGAAAAAAGAAAAGAAAAAAAATAACTTGAGCCGGAAACCGGCCCGGCCCGACCCGGCCTGGCCCGGAACCGCCGGCTACCCGGGCCGGTTCCGGTTCCCTACTTCCTAATCAAAAGCCTGACCGGGCCCAGGCCGGAACCGGCCCGGCCCGGGTCCATCCCTGATTGGCCATTTGGCCCTAACTTTTATATGCGGTCATTGAAAAGTGAATAACAAGTTAACAACCCAACGTTGTTAACGTAAGTACGAGTAGGACACTTTTCACCGCCATTTTCCCCATGCATCATTTGATACTCACTAATATTAGGGATGGACCGGTTCCGGGCCGGTCCAAACCGGGCTTTTTTTTCTGGGGGGTAAGGCATGGAACCGGCCCGGGATTCCACCGGGTCCGGGCCGGTTCATGTTTTTTGTTTTGCTTTTGTAATTAACCCCCCACCTAAGGGTGGGTTCGGTTCAAACGGTTCGGTTTTCACCTAAAACCAAATGTAGAAACAAAGTAAAAATTTCGGTTCGATTCGGTTCGGTTTTATGTTAAAAATTTTGGAACCACGGTTTGTTCGGTTCGGTTTTATGTTAAAAATTTTGGAACCACGGTTTGTTCGGTTCGATTTGTTTCGGTTCGGTTTCGGTTTTTTCATAAATATTTTTGTTGATTAAAAAAATAGTAATTGGAAAACAAAAAAAAACTATATCAAACAAGTATTAATAGTAAAACAACACAAAAACATACATAATTAAAAAAGAGAGAGAAAAACAAATGTGTGAGTTTATTTGTGAATTATATAAAGGGTATTCGCAAGTTATAATTTTATTAGTAAATACCTTATTCTACTTTCTTTTTAGAAAAAGATATTTATGCTTTAAAGTTTCACGTTTTCTACTATGTTGTTTAAAGTATAGTTTATATTAATACATATTTGTTCAATATAAAAAACTATGTGATATCAAACATATATACATAGTATATACAAAACATATAATATAGGCCCTTGTACCTGTTTGAAATGCTCAATTCACACCCTGAACTAAAAAAAGCTCCAATTCACCCCCTAAACTCGCCAAAAAAGTTCAAATACCATTTTTAGCTGGCAAAAGTCCGGTCATCGCCACGTCAGCTGGTTACATGCCAACCGTGAATCCCACGTGGAAATCTAAGGGGTCAAATAGACCCCTGAACCCGACAAAGTTGTTCAATTTACCCCCTCAACCATTAAAAAGTGTCCAAATTGCTATTAAAAAAATATGAAATTAAAAAATAGAAAAAAAAAATATAAAAGGATATACAAGTTCATAATATAAAATATAGATGTCTATTTATAATATAATAAGACGATTTTTATATTTTAGGGTAAATTAAATATATATATAAACATAATGAAGGTACTTATTTTTAAATACATAATATAAAAATGTAGTAGTCCGTAGCATGTATATATATAAAATGTATATAATATAAATACATATTATAATTTTTATATAGTATAAAATTTTTATGTTGCATATAATTAATTTGAAGTATAGTACGTAGTATATAATTCTAGAATAAAATAATATGAGTATATATACATATATGCATGTGTGCGTATGTGTAATTTTATATATAAATATAAAACATATTAAAAATATGAAAATAGTTTTAATGAATTTCTTTTAGTTTATTTTATATGAATTTACTATAAATATATCCTCTTTTTTGCGGTAAATTCACATAAAACAAAACAAAATCATTAAAAGTATTTTGATATTTTAAATCCATTTAAAAAAATCAACCATACTTTTTTTACAAATCAATATTAAATTTTATATTTTGCGTATTATTTTTCCTATAATTTTTATATATATTAATTTACCCTAAAATATAAAAAATTTATTTTCATATTATACATAGACTAATATATATTTATATTATGAACTTGTATATTATTTATATTTTTATTTTCTATTTTTAAATTTTTATTTTTTAATTGCAATTTGGACACTTTTTAACAATTGAGGGAGTAAATTGAACAACTTTGTCGGGTTCAGGGGTCTATTTGACCCCTTAGATTTCCACGTGGGATGCACGGTTGGCATCTAACCGGCTGACGTGGCGATGACCGGAAATTCACATGCAAAAGTGGGATTTGAACTTTTTTGTTGAGTTCAGGGGGTGAGTTGAAGCTTTTTTTGGTTTAGGGTGCGAATTGAGCATTGCAAACAGGTACAGTGGTCTATTTGACCCTTTAGCCTATAATACATTAGCAAAATATCATTGTCATGCAACAACAAGAAAAATGTAAATTACGATTTGAAATATCAACATAATAGTATTATAGAAATAGACTTAAGTGTATGTACAAGTGTTTCACTTAATTAAACCATAAATATTAAATTTCAATATCTTGCAAATTATAATAAATCTAGTATCAAACATTAATTTTCTAGAGTTTTTTAGGATCATTAATTTTCTAGAATTAAGAATTAAGTACTAAACAAAATATTATACTTAATGATTAATAAATAAAATAACTAGCTTTTAAAAGTTCGGTTTATTCGGTTCGGTTTTGAAATGTGAAAACCGAAACCGAAACCAAACGGTTACGGTTCGGTTCGGTTTTTTGAGTTCGGTTTCGGTTTTCTTGCGGTTCGGTTGTTTTGGTTACGGTTCGGGTTTTTTCATTTCGGTTTTCGGTTTCTTCGACCCACCCCCACCCCCCAAAACACCCAGCCCAACCCGGGAAAAACAAAAAAAAATTGAAAAAACAAAAAAAAAAAAAAACCAAAAAAGGCACGAACCGGTTCCTATTTTCCATGACCCGAGCCCGCCCTTAGTACCACCCGGTTTGGGCCTAACCAGACCGGTCCAGGGCCCGGTTCCAAACAGTGCCGGTCCGGGCCACGGGCCGGTCGGCCCAGAAGCGGTCCATCCCTAACTAATATGAGCTCCAAGTTTAGCCATTAAAAGTTGTGTCCCATTGCAAATTCAAGATGAAAAATTGTATTTCGTGTAAGCTTTATACACACTCTCACTTCCAGCTTTAGCTCATGGCTTGGCGAACAAGAACATCTAATACTTTTAAGGAATTAAGGACTATCTTATGTAAGTGGTCACCACCTGAGCCAAATGAAGATGTCGGGAATCCAAACTTAGGTATGGGTTTAACTTTAAATTTGTGTGTAATAACATGTAGAGAGTGTTTGCGATTGCTTCAACTTTAAAAAAATGATTTTTTAAAGTGATTTTGGGAAAAGTGATTAAGGGAGTGTTTGCAATTGCTTCAACTTTAAAAAAGTGATTTTTTAAAGTGATTTGGGGAAAAATGATTAATAGTAAAAGTTGGTAGTGTTTGAGGAAAAAGTGATTCTGAAAAAGTAAAAGTTGGTAGTATTTGGTAAAATAAGTACTTTTTATGTAATAGAAAAAGTGAAGCAGTTTAAAGCACCCTTCCACCTGCTTCCAGCTTTTAGCTTTTAAGTGATTAATTTAAGCAGAAGCTGTCATTTGAAAACACTCTTTTTAACTTTTTTTAAGCCAAAAGCTGAAAAGTGCTTTTTTTAATCAACTGCAAACACTCCTTAATAGTAAAAGTTGGTAGTGTTTGAGAAAAAAGTGATTCTGAAAAAGTAAAAGTTGGTAGTGTTTGGTAAAATAAGTACTTTTTGTGTAATAGAAAAAGTGAGAAGCAGTTTAAAGCACCCTTCTACCTGCTTCCAGCTTTTAGCTTTTAAGTGATTAATTTAAGCAGAAGCTGTCATTTGAAAACACTCTTTTCAACTTTTTTTAAGCCAAAAGCTGAAAAACGCTTTTTTTTAAGCAACCTCAAACACTCCTGTAATCACGGTCCTTATTAATTTTATCTACTATTTCACAAAAAAGAACTTCATCTACGATCAGAGCAAGAATAACTTTGAAATAAAGATATAGACCACACTTTGAATTAAGAAGTCGATACATATTGTTAGTGACATCATTTTAGTTCTTAATCAAATGATACTAAAAAGGAGAAGAACAAATTCCCACAAATATATATCAGAAAACATGTACTGTCTCAGTCACCTTTTAGTTAGTCATCTTTGACTTTTCTAGTCAAAGATGCTACACTTTGGCCAACAATATATTTATATATGAAAATATTTATAACCAGAAAATGATATGAAAGTATTCTTCATTAAAATTACTATCACAAAAGTATAAAATATATATGTTTGAAAAAATATAATTAATAAAATGATTGATCAAAGTTGACCATCATTGACTTAAAAAGTTAAAGATGGCTAACTAAAAAGAGACATCTCACCTTTTTATAACAATTAATCACAAAACCGCCATAAATGTCTTAAACTTGAAACAAAACCGTTTGATGGAGTTTAATCCAATTACAAGAGCTATATCTACGAGAACAGATGAAATTTAGGCGGCGTAAGGTAGTATTATTATTCCAGAATTCCGTCCCTTGATAGGATGTGTTCAAGAAGTATTTATAGACCTTAGGTACTAGTGTTCTAGGAAGAAACTGATACATTAAATATCATTAATTGAAATACTCTTGTAACGTCTCGAACGTTGTGCAATGATTGCTTCCCTCAGGTCCACGTTTCTTCCGTTATTCCTGCCACTGCCAGATAGTTATGCACGAATGATAGCCTGTCACGTAAGCCCTAGGAAGAGTTCAACCTCACTAGAATTCCGCTCAGGCTTGAGGTCCAGTGTTCAGCTCGGCCTGAGTGTGGGTTCCTTTCGTGGGTCTAATTCCTAATTTGACCCAACGACTAATTAATATTAATTCCGTTTATGGTCTGATCCCGTTGATGGGCTGATCCCGTCAAGGGTCTTCACCATAATTCCGCATTTGGGCCATGGCTGTAATTAGGGCAGAGCACGGATCGGGTTAGGGCGGGTCGGGTTCAAAAATTGTAAACCCATTCGGTTATCAGATTAATAATTTCAAACCCTACCCTATCAAAAAATTTATCGGGTTGAGGAAGTTCGGGTTGCGGTCGGGTTGATTCAGTTTTCGGGTCCATTCGGATTTTAATTTATTATTGTTGAAATTGCGATAAATAAAATGGTAATTGGTAAAAACATTATTCAAAGTTATACTAGTATAACATTCAAAGTATTAGTTGTATAAATACAGTAATCGACATATTTGAACATGTAAAATAATAATATATGGTGATTGACATATTTGATATTGTGACAAATAAAATGATAATTGGTAAATACAAATGATAATTGGTATATACGAGTTTAACAGTTAACACTGAACAGTACAATTAGGTATATAAGGAGTATATATGCCATGAGTATTTCAGGTGGTTGGGCGGGTCGGGTAGCATAATTGGTAACCCTACGCGCTTAAGTCTTGGGTTGCAAGAATCAGACCGGATATCGAATATATCCGGTCGGGTTAATTGGGTAGGGTCGGGTTTGCTCTCCCCTAACTGTAATCCATGGTACCATCACCGTCCTTTAGGAGTTCACGATGGGGGTAGGGATGTCAAAAAAACCCGACCCGCAATGACCCGCCCTGGCCCGAGACATTTGGGGCGGGTCCGGCCCGCCCCGTCTTGCAAATGGGACGGGTCCGCCCCGCCCCACCTATACAATGGGGCAGGTCCGGGTATTAGTATTGACATGTGCCGCCCCGACCCGCCCCGCTCAATATATAAGTATACATATTTTTTTCTTAAATAATACTACAAATATAATTCAACATACATATGTGTCTATACAATAAATCTTAATTTTTTTTAATCTTAATATATATATATATATATATATATATATATATATATATATATATATATATATATATATATATATATATATATATATATATATATATATTAGAATGAGATGAACAACGGATTATCAACGTCTTCTTTATATATAACATTTTAATACATATATTCAATTATTAATATAATTAAATAGATTAACTATTCATGTTTGAGTAATTTTTCTTTAATTTTTGAAATTTTTAGCGTATCATGAATTTGGTTTAATATATTAATTTTTAATTATTATTTAGAGATAAATTTTATGTAGATTCAATGGTAACAACTTCCCACAAATAAAAATACATACTAGCAAATTTGGTTACGACGGGGTGGGGCGGGTCATGGGTCAACAAGTTTGGACCCGTGCAGGTCACGGGGCAGGTCCGGGTCTTGCAGTACCCACACCGACCCATTGCCATGCCTAGATGGGGGAGCCTATATGGTACATCTGGGTGTATGTGTACACCTGGCCCAATTAAGGAAGACGGCCCAACAACTTATACATGCCAATTTTTTTGATGACATTTTTGTAATTTAAGCGAAAAATCACGGCTTCCGCTAAATGAGCAAAAATGCACTTTTAGTGAGCATATGACCTATTTTATTGAGTAATAGGAGGCTAACAATGAATATGAAAATCGTAAGGTTTGTTAGTTGAACATCACAACATTTTAATTGAACATCAAACCTGCACTCTAATACCAAATGAGCATACATAGTGCTGGACTCGAGCCAGGTCGGGTTTGGGCCTAGGCCCAGGCGGGCCGCCGGTTCTGAATAGTTGGGCCTGGGACCGGCCTGGGTAGCTACCGGGTCCGGGCCGAGCCTCTTTTTTTTTTTTTTTTTTTTTTTTTTTTTTTTTTTTTTTTTTGCTTTTTTCTAATTAACCCCCGATCCCCCCATCACCCCCCCCCCCCCAAAACACCCAGCCCAACCCATTGGAATAAAAAAATGAAAAAACAAAAAAAAAAAATGATTTTGGCCCGAACCGGGCCCTACTGGGCCAGGTCTCATTTTGGCAGCACCGTGCCCGGAACTGTCTCCCACTCGGGCCAGGTCAAAGCCCGGTACCCGGACCAGTGAACCGAGCCAGTCCCAGGCCCGCACAGTAGCGGGCCGGACCGGTTCACGGGCCGGACCGGTTCACGGGCCGGGTGGCCCGACCCGAGTCCACCACTAAGCATACATAACTCACAAAGTGCATATTGATATGAAAATCGTAAGGTTTGTTAGTTGAACATCACGACATTTTAATTGAATATCAAACCTCCACTATTGAGATAAAAATCACGATTTCTTGTGAATGAGCATTAATGAACTTTTAATGAGCATCAGACATATTATGTTGAGTATTAGGAGTCTAACATAAAATAGTATTCTAAAAAAATGCATTGATATGACATTTCTTAAATGAGCATAGGATCAGTACCAGATGAGCATATAATTTACAAAATGAGCATTAATAAATTTGTAAGTTGCTTTGTTAGTTGAATATTAAGACATTTTCATGGAGCATTAAACCTCCTCTATTGAAATCGATGAAAATCACGATTTCTGTTAAATGAGCATTAATGAATTTTTAATGAGAATCAGACCTATACAAATGAACATATGTAACTTACAAGATGAACATTGATATAAAAATTGTAAGTTTTGTTTGTTGAGCATCGAAACATTTTCAGTGAGCATCAAACCTCCATTATTGAGTATTAGAATATGCGATTGAGTATCATGATTTGTCCCGTGTCTATAATCAACTCCTATATAAATCCAATGTAATATGTTACTTTTCCCCTATCATTTTTTATCATGGTATCTTTTTCTTTTCCTCTTATCATTTTTTATCTCTTGCATAGTTGATGGGGAAAAAAGTGAAAGTGTGAAATGATTAGGAAATAATCCATACCATACATACCATAAACTTCCTGCTTTCTGGTACAACACGAATATCAATAAAATAGCAAAAATAAATTCATCCTTCTCATTCCTTTCAAAATCCCCAAAACCCAACAATGGCTAGAATAAAGATTAAAATCTTATCAGGAGAGAAAGGCCACTCATGTGCCTTTGGTCATATTCTCCTACAAAGAATGGCCACACAGTAAAAACAGCGGTAGTTGTCCCTATAAAATGTTCATAAAACAAAACTTACTCACTTGATCATAGTCGCTGATAACCAAAAGTTCCAAAATATTGAGGCCATTGACATGAAAGCAACTCGAGCTTCAAGGGGAACCACCCTGAATGAACTTTCAATTAGTCCCCAAATCATGTTACATTGATAGCACCTAAGCTTAGTTAGCATTAGAATGTAATGTACAGCTAGAAACAAAGTACTCAATTTATGGTGTCATTAATTACCTAAAC